AAAGTGATCAGGAAAACAACATCAACATCAATTAACTGCAGACCTTAAAAGTCATTAAAATTTTAAGTGAACATGGTTCTATAAATTCCTTGAAAAGAGGACCTTGTGGAAACTGAAAACATAATTTGGATGTTGAACAGTACCCACAGAATAACAAATTGATAAGTTCCTAGACACAATCTAGAGATGAAGCAAGAGTAAATATTATTTATTTGACAATAAAAATCACCATATCCAGAGGTATTTGTGGTCTCAAGTGATTTCATGGACAAATTAGAGTAACAAGTTCCCACAATAAACCTATAAAAAAATAAAAATAAGTTTGGGAGGGGTTGGACTTTGGAGATTAAAGACACTTGAAGAGGAGTTTGCACAAATAAATTAGGACCTACATTAAATACGAATATATCAAACCATCATATATGAGGTTTGATATCAGCTAGTATCAGCTTAAATCTTAATTATAAGTCACAAAGCAATCACTTCCCTGAGTAAAAGGTGTTAACTCCAACAAAAACTTTAAAAAGAATTTTCAGAACTGAGCTAAAAAAGCCAACTTTTCAGCTTTGGCTAATACAAAATTAATATTAAAAAATTGAAACAAGAGAAGAAGAATTCCTAAAACAAGGCCACAAGGGTCACAATATGCTGCACGGCTGAACCACCACCAAAAATTGACCCTTCCATGATTTGTCATATTGTCTACACAAATCTTAGCATAAGGCAGGATCGCAATATAAAAAATAAATAAGATATACGGTTTGTTTGGATAGCAAAGTGGAATAGAAAGGGAAGAAACGGAAAAAGAAGGAAAGGGGAGGAATGGAGGGGGGGGGGGGGGGGAGAAGGTAAGGTTACATTTTCCCTCCAAATCTTTCTAACATTGGAAGGATTTGGTTAATTAAAAGAGAAAGAAAATGAATCCTTTCATTTCCTTTCCTTTCCCTTCCCCTCCTATCCAAAGAAGGGAGGATGAATACATTCATTTCTATTCTTTTCCTTTCCTTCCAATTTTCTCAATCCAAACAATGTGATAAAATCACCCTGTAATTGAGTAAAAGTCACCCTAAGATTCAATTTATATGTAAAAGTCTCTCCATCAGCCCATCCATTGTTCAAATTCATCCTCACTCAGCTAGATAAACATAACAATGTGATTATGAACATACATCGTCAAAGTTCGTCAAAAAGCAACACATCCAAACACAATCACAGGAACGGACCAAGGAATTCGCCACACTAGCCATATCAGCCAAATGCATCCGAATAAGCTCCCAATTAAATATACTCACTCTTAGTGTTCATTCTTGCACCGTGAAGTAGTAATCATGCTTAAATCAAATCATATTCCTAAAGTCAAAATTACCTCAGACATTACATACCAATGCAATCAAATGCAACACTAATTCAACTACAACTAAACTACTTCAACTCAAATTATAACACAATATCAGAGTAACAACCCAAACAAACACCAATTTTCTCAACTTTCATCAATGCTAACACTATAATTCAACATTCAATTAAAATATAACCTGAAATCCACAAAAACCCTAAAAACAAACCAAAAAAACCAAAAATCATCAAACCTTCAGGCTGATCATTCTCAGAAAACTCCTTCTCCAACAATGATCGATCATCTTGGCGATAGTACCCTCACCATCAGGCGGCGTAGAATTGAAGATATTATTACCATAAAATCTCTCCCGCATTTCCTGGTCAGATCTCGCGCAATTACAGAAATTGACGCCGATTTCAGCAACCATTAAAACTAAAACAATACAAACCCAAAATCTGTTGAATCTCCAACTGAAAAAGGGTTCACATTCGCCATTTTCGGAAGCAAGAAAGATGAAGGAGGGTTGAATTTTCTCTCTCCTGAAATCCGGCGGAAGAAGAAGGGAGGTTGGAATGAAAAGGGAGAAGAAAGAAGGAAGTTTGAGTTCGTTAAAAAAATTGGAATTGGGAATTTGAAATAAAATTTAATTGGGATTTATGATGTTAGCGGGATCACCATTGGTTGCTTCAAATGGCAACGATGTGTACCTTTTTCTTTTTTCCCTCTCGTGTATTTTGACTTTTTTAGGTGCAAATCTAACTCCTTTTCAGATTTTAATTAATTGCCACATCAGATTTTATATTAAATTTAATTATTTTTTTTAATTTTAATTTATTTTAAGATTGCTTAAGACTCAATCAGATTTATCTCTTCAATCCTAAGACTTATTTTAGATTTCTTTAAAATATTTATTAACTTTTTTTTGTCTTTTGAGAATTTTGCATGATTGGGATCCATATTTTGAAGAAAGCTATAATATTGTACGTTGTTTATATTTTTTTTGTAGGATTTTAAAGAAGACAAATAAATGATAACAAAATCAATAGGATATTTAGCTTTTATAATACATATATAGAGTAATTTTATTATGACTAGGTACATACATGATAAATATTAAAAACCAAAAAACAATAACAAAAAAATAGGATAATTTAAATACAAGATAACTTAAATTGATAATTGTTATGATTGGTATGTATTTATATTTTTTTTCAACAAGATAAGTACATAGTTAAGATAAAATAGAACAAACAATGATTTTTGCATATAAAAAATTAAAACCAACGTACATATCTATAAATTTTTTTTGGAAATAACGTACATACATTTTTTTTTAAACAATGTACATAGAATTCTTTTTTTTTTTTTTAAGAAATGTACATAGATTTTAATGTATTTAAGAAATAAAAAATAAAAAAAAAAAGGTTTTTTTTTTTTTATCAAAACACTGTGTTTTGATGTATATATAGGGAAAACACGGTGTATAGTGTGTAGAGTTGAGTCTTAAGTTGAGTCTTGAGTTTTGTTAAGACTTAGATTCTTAAATGCATTAAAAAAATAAAGTCTTGTCTTAAAATCACAAAATCAAAAAATGATGATGTCACCCTGAGTCTTAAGACTCAGGGCTAATCTTGCTCTTACATGGTTGTTGAAGCTACTCGGGTAATTATATTCTCCCATTTGGGTAAATACCTCTTTTAAATACGATAAAGGAATCATAATCACTGTTATCTCTAATGATGACACCTGCTGCTACTGAGTTGTTTTTTAGTGAACTGTCAAAGTTGAGTTTAAAAGAGTTTGAGGGGGGTGCTTCCCAAATAACCTGTTGTTGTGGAATGGAATGGGTATGGGTTTGGGATCTCTACATAGGTGATCCCAAGTTTAAAAAGGTATTTGTGAGAGTGCGACATTGCCACTCGTTGAACGCAAATTACGCTCTGTGGAAAGTTTGAGGGATATCTAATGTTTCATTTCGAAAAATAATAGAATTTCATTCTTTTCGTATGCTCCATAATAAAAAGATAAACTTTGTAAGAATTGAGTTGTTCTTTTTGAAGTTGTTTAGGGTGGGTAGCAAGTCGTCATGTATTATATGAGAAGTTTCTACCGTAAATTAGTATAACTATTAATTTTATTACATGTACTATATAATCATGACATTTTTTTTTAAATAAACTTCTCAACTGTACGTTCTATAATTTTTTTATTATGGGGTTGTTTGGCAATCGATGGTTGGTTGCTGGCTGTTAGCTTGTTTGACTAGCTGGAAGTATTAGCTGTATAGGTTGACTTTTTAAGTTATTGTTTAAGCCGGCTGTTTACAAAAGTGTATGGTAAAATTATTAATGGTTGTTAGCTGTTTATTAGTGATAAAGTGGGCCAACAAGCCAATAGAAAAAGCTGCTCTTATTAGCTTTTGGCTTTTGGCGGAAAAGCTAGCTTCAAAGCCAACTACCAAACATATTTTTCTGGCTGTTTGACCAAACTAAAAAGCCAAAAGCTAGACAAAAAGCCAATTGCCAAACACCCCCTATGTAATTTTACATAATGGCCTTGTTTGGCAATTGGCTGCTGGTTGTTGGTTGTCGGCTAGTTTGATTGGCTGGTTTGACTGACTGTTTGTATTGCCTTTTTTGTTGGTTATTTGACTTTTTATTAGTCTAAAAACATGTTTGGTAAAATTGATTGTTGGATGTTATTAGTAACTTAGGTTGCCAAAAGCTACTCCAATTAGTTTTTTTTAAAAAAAAATTTGGCTTAAAAGCCAACTTTTCAGCTGGCTGAAAAAGCCATTTACCAAACACAAATTTTGAATGTTTGACCAAATGAAAAAGCCAAAAACCAATAAAAAAAAGTCAATGAAAAGCCATTTACCAAACAAGCCCAAAATATACTAACTTTACCCTTTATAAGCAATGATCATATGTAGACGGACAATCTCATTCAATAGCTATCTACCTTGTGCAATATGGATTAAGGAAGCACAATGACCCACAACTATGTTCCGAGGAGCTACTCAGAGAAGCTTTGAGGCTCGAGACCTTTGATAATCTGACTGTCATAGTTATTTGTTTCTCTTCTTGTGATCATCAGAATAAAAGTCGCTCAATGTTCAGGAGTCCGGGGTCTGAACGTAGCCTCACAGTGGAGTCCTTGTCAAAGCTGAAGAGCTTCATAACTCATTGATAAGTAGAGTGTCGCTAACATATTTGTTGAAATACATGCTTGCATTTTTGTTAGGGGTACACAATAGAGTACTAGAGTGTTAATTTTCCGAATTCTTGTGGAGTACCTTTTTAAGCAGATTATTTGTTCAATTGATTATATATTTTTCCTCTGTCCGTTTGACCGAAGTTGCATACACTGGTTGATATCTTGATAAAAATTTTCTATAAACTCATCATGTGAGCTGAAGTTAAAATCATTTCTTAAAGAAAAGTTGTCAATACTTTTCGTCCCGTACTCGGATAGTCACTAATCTGTTTTAAAGGTCAAACTTTGAAAATTCTAACTAATAATTCTTGTCGACAATATTATATACAAATATATGATTAAAATATTGTTAGTTTCGTCTAAATGTGTAATTTTATAATATCGGATCAACTTAATATACTTTTTACTAATACGCAATTCAAAATATATCGGGATTAGATCAACCAAAGCACGATCTGAACAAAAAAATTTAGCCCACTACCTCCAGAGCTCGAATCGTATTATAGTGTATCATGAGGTCCTTATGTTAAGATGCGTTGATGTCCTTGATGATTAAGACCCCTCATTTCTTAATTTTTTTTTTTTTTTTTTTTTTTTTTGGTGTTTAGAGAGTCATAAGAGCGGGTGATGAGAATCGATCCCAGAATCACCTGAAACCGGGAAGGGAGGTATAACCACTTGAGCTATTCCCACTCTCGTTTCTTAATTCTTATCTAAGGACACGAGAAAAGGGTAACAAAATCTGAAATTGCCAAAAAGAATGACGTGGCGATGATTGATCCACTGATAACTCAAATACATGATCAACAACAAAGAGTGTGCTCTCCACACGTTCAAAATAAATACACTTCTTCATTTTACTCATTATATGATTTATATCTTTCTTTACTATTTTGCCATCCTTTCTAAATAAAACAAACAATTTTTAATTCCTTTCAATAAATAATGGCTTCTTCTCTTAACATTTTAAGTAATGTTAATGGGTTTGGGTGCACGAAACCATCAGTTGGTTCACAACAGAGAAGAAGGATGGTTGTGGTAAGGGCAGAAACAATTAACCCAGAAATCAGGAAAATGTTGGATATACTTTGAATTATTTTGAAAATAGATAATTATCAAGAAAATGGTCCATTTATTTTGAAAATTAGTTTCCCATGATCAAGGAAACTAACTATCCATTATCCCACTAACTTAGAAAACCACCCATAACAAACACACGTAAAGTAGGAGTTTTTGATGGCAAAACTTCCTATATATATGTAATTCAACGTGAGTCTCATTCAAGCAACAAGGTCACTGCATCCAACTCTCAAAAATACATATACACCATCAAAGTGAGAGTGAGGGTCCAGCACCAAAGTTGAGAAGAGATTGTTCACGGTTTCGGCGTCGCGACGAGGTTGTTCGAGTCTTTGCCTTCCTCGTAATTAATTTGCAATGGCTGGAGGTATACTAATTAATTATCGCTTCCGCAATCATGTTTTGTATGTTTACAATTCAACCTATAAACATGTTGTTTGCTGTACATGATTTACATTTGGTATCAAGAGCCATGTTTTCCTCTGCCTTGCTTAGTTAGAATCGTCAATATTTTTTTACATGCTGCTTAAATTGACGATGCAACAATCTCGATTGTGTTGGGCGATTATTTCATATATGCTACTGTATAATATGTTTTTGGATAAGGAGTATGCATGAAAGCTATGATTTTAATGTATCACTACTACTTGATGTTTCTGTGTATATCGTATTCATCATCACATATTTATATTTTTACATATCTTTTTTATTTATGTGTATATAAAGTATGGATATCCCCTCTGCATGCATTGTTTAATGTTTATACAATATATTTGCATTTATCCAGTTACATAATTATAGTATGTGATAAATTAAAATAAAAGGAAAAGGATTTCTATTAGTGCTATTGCGGTAAAATCATTTTCATATGCAACGCATTAATAGTCAGTATGATAATTATTTGCATACTTTATTAATCTTGTAATACATCATTGTTTAAGGATTTTGTTATTCATTTTGGATCAATTGGATAATGAATTAAATTGTGTAAATGTCAAGTGTGTTAAGATTTTATTATTTAGGGAGTAGCCACAACATCTCTATTTATTAAAATTTTATATAGAAATCACATGTGGAAACTAGACATTTGTTTGTAATTAATCCTCTATGATATAATAAGACTTACCCACAGGAATTTTATTATATTAGAATGATTAATTAGAGTGAAGTATTGAACTTTGTTTCTTAAATGTCCCACAGGAAATTAAGAAATTGATACAATTTAATAGCTTCACTGTTTGATTATTATATTATGTTTATCTAATTGAGTAGAACTTTAGCCCACATGCAAGTTTTATGTCACTAGATTTATGTATTTACATGATTTACATTGGTAAAGCATGATTTTATTTTACAGTCTATATTGATATTGAGCATTTTTATTTAATTTTTGCAGTAGTTTTACCTGGAAATATTTCTGATGTCAAATGTAACATTCCTGAACTAAGGGGTGATAACTATAAAGTGTGGAAAGAAAGAGTGCTGCTGCAATTAGGATGGATGGATATTGACTATGCTATTAGGAAAGACGAACCACCTGCCATAACGGAGGATAGCACTCAAGATGCAATTAGTCTTTATGAAAAGTGGGAGAGGTCTAACCGTCTCTCCGTTATGTTCATAAAGACTAAGATATGTACTAGTATTCGTGGTTCTGTCGATAAGCATACTAATGTCAAAGAACTCATTAAGGCCATCGATGAGCAGTTTGCAACTTCTGACAAAGCTCTTGCTAGCACTTTAATCATGCAGTTTTCATCCATGAAGCTCACTGAGACCAAAGGAGTGCGTGATTACATCATGCGCATGAGGGATATAACAGCTCAACTTAAGGATTTGGAAGTTACCATGTCTGACTCTTTCCTAGTGCATTTTATTTTGTGCACTCTTCCTAATCAATACGACCCTTTTAAAGTCTCTTACAACACACATAAAGATAAATGTTCAATTAATGAACTTATGACCATGTGTGTTCAAGAGGAGGGAAGATTGGCTATGGAAGAGAGTGAAAAGGTGAACCTCACAACTTCTGAAAAGAAGAAAAGGGATCACACTAAGGAAAAGGGAAAGGGAAAGATTCCAGCAAAGTCATCCATTAAGAAGGAGTCTACGTGTTTCTTTTGTAAAAAGAAGGGACACATGAAGAAAGACTGTACCAAGTTTAAGGAATGGCTTAAGAAGAAAGGTAATTTTTTAGCGTTTGTTTGAAATGAATCTAATATGGTTGATGTTAATTCTAATACATGGTGGATTGACTCTGGTACTACAATCCATATTTCGAATACCTTGCAGGGTATGACAAACCTAAGGAAACCAATGGGGAGTGAACATAACATCTATTCAGGCAACAAGATGAGTTTGCATGTGGAAGCAGTTGGGACATGCAGCTTAACTCTAAGTAGTGGTTTTATTTTGCATTTAGAAAGGACATTTTATGTTCCAAATTTCTCTAGAAATTTGATTTCAGTTTCAAGACTTGTACCTTTGGGATTTTCCTTTAATTTTTCAGATTCTGGTTTCAGTTTATCAAGTAATTCTGAAGTTATTGGTTATGGTATTTTGACTAATGGTTTATATTGTCTTAAGTTGCAAAATGATATCACTCATAATTCCATGCATGTTAATATTGGTTTTAAAAGATGTATTATGAATGAAAAATCCTCTATGCTATGGCACCGGAGATTAGGACATATGTCCATTGAGAGAGTTAAAAGGTTAGTAAAGGATGGGGTACTTGATACTCTAGACTTTGCTGATTTTGAGACATGTGTTAGTTGCATTAAAGGAAAGCAAACTAACAAATCTAAAAAGGGTGCTAAAAGGAGTTCTGACCTATTAGAGATCATACATACGCATATTTGTTGTCCGGACATGAACGCTAAAGATCCAAAATACTTCATTACCTTTATTGATGATTATTCGCGATACATGTATCTTTACTTACTTCATTCCAAGGATGAAGCTTTGAACGCCTTTAAATTGTTTAAGGCCGAAGTAGAGACACAATGTGGTAAGCACATTAAGATCGTGAGATCAGATAGAGGTGGGGAGTACTATGGTAGATACACCGAGAATGGACAAGCATGTGGTCCGTTTGCAAAATTTCTTCAAGAGCATGGGATTGTTGCCCAATACACCATGCCCGGTTCTCCGGATCAGAATGGTGTAGCAGAAAGAAGAAATAGGACCTTAATAGAGATGGTGAGAAGTATGCAAAGCAATGCTACACTTCCACCATCTTTGTGGATTGAAGCTCTTAAGACGCCAGCGTATATATTAAACCGGGTTCCTTCCAAGGCTGTCTCTAAGACGCCTTTTGAGTTATTCAAAGGATGGAAACCGAGTTTGCGCCATATGCGCGTTTGGGGATGCCCGTCTGAAGTAAGAATTTACAACCCACAAGAAAAGAAGCTTGACCCAAGGACTATTAGTGGGTATTTCATTGGATATGCCGAGAAGTCTAAGGGATATAGATTCTATTGTCCATCTCATAGCACCAGAATTGTGGAATCGAGAAATGCAAAATTTCTTGAGAATGACTTAGTTAATGGGAGTGATCAATTTCAGGGCAATGTTCCTGAAAAGGATCGCATTGAAGTTCCAACTTCTAATTCAAGTGATAAGATGGTTATTGTTCACGTTCCTCAAGTTCAACCGGACGTAAGACAACCAATAGCCAATGAAGTTCCACAAAATGCTGATAATATTTTAATGGATAATAATACAAATGAGGAACATTTGGATGATCAACACATTGATCAAGTTCCTTTAAGAAGATCCGTTAGAGTGAGAAGATCAGCTATTTCTGATGATTTTGAGGTGCATTTACAAGAACCGGATTATAATGTTGAAGCTGACAATGATCCAATTACGTTTTCACAAGCCACAAGTTCAAAGGATTCAGACTTGTGGATTAGTGCCATGAAAGATGAGATGAATTCTATGACGTCTAATAAAGTTTGGGATCTTGTTGAATTGCCCGATGGTGTAAAAGCCATTGGATGTAAATGGGTCTTCAAGACAAAGAAAGACTCATTTGGCAACATCGAGAGACATAAGGCTAGACTTGTTGCTCAAGGGTGCACTCAAAGAAAATGAATCGACTACTCGGAGACCTTTTCTCCTGTATCGAAAAAGGATTCTCTTCGAGTGATTATGGCATTAGTAGCTCATTTTGGCTTTGAGTTACATCAAATGGATGTGAAAACAGCTTTTCTGAATGGTGACTTAGAGGAACAGGTTTACATGAGACAACCTAAAGGATTCCTCTCTGAAAAGGGTGATCATTTGGTTTGTAAGCTTAATAAATCCATATATGGACTGAAACAGGCTTCTCGCCAATGGTATATGAAGTTCCATGAAGTGATAACTTCATTTGGTTTTGAAGAAAATATCATGGATCCATGTATATACCACAAGGTTAGTGGGAGTAAGATCTGTTTCCTTGTGTTATATGTGGACGATATTTTGCTAGCAACTAATGATAAAGGGTTGTTGCATGAGGTGAAACAATTTCTTTCAAGTAGTTTTGATATGAAAGATATGGGTGAGGCATCTTATGTCATTGGCATTAAGATACATAGAGATAGATCTCGATGTATTTTGGGTCTATCTCAAGAAGCCTACATCAACAAAATACTTGAAAGGTTTAATATGAAAAATTGTTCGCCAAGTGTAGCATCTATTGTAAAGGGTGATCAGTTCACTTTGGACCAATGTCCCAGGAATGACCTTGAGAGGGAACAAATGAGAAATATTCCTTATGCTTCAGTTGTTGGAAGCATTATGTATGCTCAGGTTTGCACTAGACCCGACATTGCATATACTGTTGGAGTATTGGGAAGATATCAGAGTAACCCAGGTCTTGATCACTGGAAGGCTGCAAAGAAAGTGTTAAGATACCTTCAGGGTACCAAGGATTACATGCTTATGTATAGACGAACAGAAGATCTTGAAGTTGTGGGCTATTCTGACTCCGATTACGGTGGCTGCATTGACTCACGAAAATCCACCTCAGGATATGTGTTCATGCTAGTTGATGGTGCCGTCTCTTGGAGGAGTGCGAAGCAGACCTTAACTTCTACTTCTACTATGGAGGCTGAGTTTATATCTTGTTTCGAGGCTACCTCACATGGTGTTTGGCTAAAAGGTTTCATATCTGGGTTAAGAGTTGTTGACTCTATCATTCGTCCAATAAGGATGTATTGTGACAATTCAGCTGCAGTTTTTATGGCTAAAAATAATAAGAGTGGAAGTAAAAGTAAACACATTGACATAAAGTATCGAGCCGTAAAGGAACGTGTTCAAGAAAAGAAAGTGATCATAGAACACATTAGTACTGGATTGATGATTGCTGATCCCTTGACCAAAGGCATGCCGGTTAATGGTTTCAAGGGTCATGTAGAAAAGATGGGACTTGGTTCCGTCATGTGAAACTTTTACTTGTTTTATTGAAACCTTTTTCATTAAGTTTTTGATATTTCTTGCATTATTTGAATTTATGTACGTACTTTTGGAAATATAGTTATTTCAATAAGAAATGTCATTTTGTTTGACCTAGAGTGAACATGAGGTTTACTCATTAAGTTATATGAGTGGTGGAAAGCTGAATATATTGTGATACATGGAAGATTAGTTCTCGTCATTAGGGAATTTGTCGCTATGATTCATATATTGAGTTTTTCCGTTTAAATGGACCAAGTGGGAGAATGTTGGATATACTTTGAATTATTTTGAAAATAGATAATTATCAAGAAAATGGTCCATTTATTTTGAAAATTAGTTTCCCATGATCAAGGAAACTAACTACCCATTATCCCACTAACTTAGAAAACCACCCATAACAAACTCACGTAAAGTAGGAGTTTTTGATGGCAAAACTTCCTATATATATATGTAATTCAACGTGAGTCTCATTCAAGCAACAAGGTCACTGCATCCAACTCTCAAAAATACATATACACCATCAAAGTGAGAGTGAGGGTCCAACACCAAAGTTGAGAAGAGATTGTTCACGGTTTCGGCGTCGCGACGAAGTTGTTCGAGTCTTTGCCTTCCTCGTAATTAATTTGTAATGGCTGGAGGTATACTAATTAATTATCGCTTCCGCAATCATGTTTTGTATGTTTACAATTCAACCTATAAACATGTTGTTTGCTGTACATGATTTACAGAAAACTGAAGAGAAAGTTGTTGATTCTGTTGTTGCTACTGAGCTCTCCAAGAATATCACCCCTTATTGCAGGTTCTTATCCTAATTATTACTCTATTTCTTTATAATTTCATACACTATATTCTTGACTATTTGTAGAGGATCTTCACCCCATAAATGTGCTACCGGTTGTACATAAAATATTGTCTTGGCTTCATCTAGTTTAAGTTCGAAATTCTTATAACCTTTGTTGTTATAATTAAGTGTCTTCGGAAATTATCCATACAAAAGTAAAGTATAGGTTGATGGTATTTAAACTTGATGTTCAAAATTGCCAAATAATATTGTATTGTTATTTGAACATGAGAAATTGTATCCCTATTTGTTTAATGATAAGCCAATGACAATATAATAAGGATAGGATATAGATCTATTGGGCATTCCTAAGGATACAATGAACAAAAAGGCTAATTATAAAATAATTTAATTACCCCACGTATGGTTACATCTATATTAAATAGATACTTACACCGTAACAATGTTCTCATTTTATATCATCATTCACTTAAAATATCAACGTAATTCCCTTCTTAAATACTCGATATAGGGGTGACAATTGAGTTGTTAGGCTTGGATTAGTTTTAGCTATGATCATTCAATTATGGGTGTGAGTCTAATCAAATTAATACAACTGAAATGGGTTGTTTTCTTGGGCCAATTTTTGACAACTTCAGTTAGTAACAAGATAACCTTTTATTACGTGAGCCCATGTGAGCATAACATTTGAAGCGGCCCAATAATAACAATATGAATTTGGACTTCTCTGAGCCCACTAACACATGGCTTACTTTGCAGGTGTTGGAGATCAGGGACATTTCCTTTGTGTGATGGGAGTCATATGAAGCACAACAAAGCTACTGTTGGACCTTTGTTGTTAAAGAAGCAGTAATTCTGATTCATATCGATGATCTACTTTCCTTCTTTTTTTTGGTTGCTTTTCTTTTTGTTCGGATTTTGATTATTGTCACCTAGCAACTTATGCCTAGAGTTGTTTCCTCTTTGAGTGGTTGAGATTAAATATGCAACCGTATTTTGACAGTGCATGCTAATGAGATGTGAATCCTGTGATTAACTGTTTTGCGATAATGTTATTACTTGTTGTTGCTTCCTTCGTTCCAAAATTATACCCTGTAAGACATATCTCATTCACATGATCTAATATAACTATATATATATAAGTAATAACATTCTGGTATAATTAAATACGTAATATATAATTTATATATGTACATTGATCACTTGTCGTGTTCACCCTGATGGATATGATGGTTCTTGGTTCATGACCTGGTTATAGTGAAGCATATTATTCTTCACAAAATAAGCTTGTTAATTGTCGGTGGTGCCGAACACCGCGAGATGTACGTGAATTGTCTAAGTTAGAACGGTAGGTATGTATGTAGTTGCGTTGAATTTAGCTGTTAATTGGCAGCCAAACATAAGATTAAGTGAATTGAGTACAGCCCTAAATAGTTTTTTCTAAGTAAATTGACAGGCACAAGTTTGTTTCGTGACCACCTACAACGGCATGTGCATTATAATTTACCAAGATTATATTCTTTGACTCCAATTCCACCGACTAATTTTAATTGCTTCTCAGATCATTGAAGTGGTCGTGTTAGTCATTTAAAATTTAACAGAGTTACAAAGATCTTTGGTAAATTTATTGTTGTAGATTGTTTGATATTCCAATGTATACTATTTATATGCATATATATTTTAATTTAAAAAGCTATGTGCATATATAAATTAACTTCTAACTTTCTAAGCATTGCTTGTTTGTTACTCCGTATTAGAAATCTGCCTTTTATTTGTTTCAAACTACGTAGTATTGCATATTTATAGCACTTTAATTATCAAGCTAGTACCATTGCTCATCATAACTTTGAACATTAATATTCCAAAAAAAATAAAATAAAAAAACCTTAATATGAAGTATTATGAGATTTTACAATGAAACTAATCCAATAAACTACAATTTACTTAATAACCTTTTTTTTTTTTCAAAAGAAGTCATTTTTTATAAGTCATAAAAAAGTGTAAGTTAATAATTGTGAACCATTTTTGGGGTTTAGGGCCTATTCTCATTGATTAAACTGAACTGAAATGAGCTGAACTGAACTGAAATGAATATTTTATAAGAGAAGGAAATTAGGAGGTGAATTGAATTGAATTGAACTGAACTAAACTGAATTTCAATGTATGAGAACAGGCCCTTAGATATAGTAAAATAGCAAACTTTGTACGAAGTTATAACTATTCATTCATAAAAAAGTGTAACTTAATCATTGTGAACCATTTTTTGGGTTTAAATATAGTAAAATAGCAAACTTTGTACGAAGTTATAACTATTCATTAAAAAAGAACAAGATTAAATTAAAAAAAACACTCCGTCCTCGTAGTACTATGAACTGTAAACTAAAATCTTCAAAAGATGTACATGAAAGTCTCGAATAACAAGTGTCATTTGTAGGTCAAATTATATGGAATCTTATTTGAGTACTAGCTATCCACCAATTCAAGAAAGGAGATTTGAATAGATTAATTAATGTTCGTAGCTTAGTTTGCTCTCTCAATCATGTAGAATTATATAGTATTTAAAATCAAATAAAGCACGTACTTTTAATTAGAAGCCGCAGAGGTGTTCTAATTTGCAGAGGTATGAACATTGAACAACCTAAGACGTGTTAATTGTGATTTTTTCAACTTTGATCAGCAGGCCAACTTGTACTAGTCATTATTTTCATGTGATTTTATTGTCATATATCACATTAAAGATATAATAATGCAGACTATATACTAATTATTTATTAAAAAGTAACCAAATGATTATAGATATTGCCTTTCAAATACACGTTACAAGCTATGGACAAACTAAAATTGCGAAAGATACACTGTACTTCATTACCACTTATAATACGAAAAAAATACTTTAATTTAGTACATGAGAAATGATTGCAAATTTAAATAGGTGTAAACGTTTAATAATAATAATAAACCATATAATATAATCAATAATAATACTCCATACTAGCAAAGGCTATGATGTATATGCTAGCGAAAGGTTTCCAACCCAAAAACGATCATGGATCGAATTGTTCGAATATAACAATTGGTGTATCAACATTGTTATGTACAACTATACAAGACACCCTCTGCACTACATACAAAATTAAATTGATGTAATGAATCTAGCTATTATCATTATTATCAATTGAGCTTTTTTTTTTTTAGGGAATTATCAATTGAGCTTAGCAAAATTGTTGTTCCTATTTCCTAACACGTCGTACTCGATCATATGCTTGTACTCATAAATAGTGAAAATAATGGAGTAATTAATGACGAATATTTAGGGCCTGTTCCGATTGACTGAACTCAGCTGAACTGAACTGAACTGAACTAAACTGAACTGAACCGAGCTGAACTGAACTGAACTGAACTGAACCAAGCTGAACTGAACTGAACTGAACTGAACTGAACTGAACTTATTAATTAGTGATTTTTAACTACGGATTAGTGATCTTTGATTATTTATTGATTATTTATTGATATTTATTACTATACATATGTGTATATACAAATGTACATATTAAAATATTTACGAAAAATATACTATATAATTATAATTATAAAATGTATGGAAAATATATTATAAAATGTATGGAAAATATATTAAAAACTTGAAACCTCTAATTTTCTCAATGAGATTAACATTAGAAATATGTTTCAAAAAAATAGAACCATTTGAACAATGAATTGTATCAATATTATTATTGTTATTATTATTATTATTATTAATTATTGATAATTATTATTATTATTATTATTTATTGATTATTATTATTAGTATTATTATTAGTATTATTATCATTATTATTATTGTTATTATTATTATTATTGTTTATTGATGATTATTATTATTTATTGATTATTATTGTTAGTATTATTATTATTATTTCAATTATTATTGTTATTATTATTATTATTATTGTTAATATTATTATTATTATTATTATTATTATTATTATTATTATTATTTTTATATACTATTTATTATTATTATTTTTGTTGTTGTTGTCGTTGTAATAAGATCTTAAAGAATGAAATTTGGCTTTATATCATTAGCAATATCATTAGACATAAATTAAGAGCTGAGCTGAGCTGAACTGAACTGAACTGAACTGAATTGAGCTGAACTGAACTGAACTGAACTGAATTTCAACGGAACAGAACAGGCCCTTAGCGACAAAAACAACATCTTTATTTTGTGATTATATAGTATTAAATGCATTAACTTCAACTTTGAGAAGCTACCGCAAAATTGAAGACACTAATCACGTTATATTGACCGCACATTTGAGAAGCACTAAGTCATAATTACAAGGGAACCGACCATGTTTCTTGGCGCTCAAATCTCAAACATTATGCCTAACTCTAAAGTTTAAGGGTTGTGATTTGTGAAGCTAAATTACATCCAATTCCAAACAGTAAAGCCTTCATGTTAAAATAGCAAAATATTATCCAATATTAATCTCTCACTTAAAGGATACGCTGATACAACAAAACGAGTTTATTAACAATAAGTTTATAAATGTTGGCATTCGTTATGTTATGTTATGTTGGCATTCGTTATGTTGGCAATTCCGGCTCAGGATTTTCAACAACATCTTTTGTCCTTCTCCAAGCGTACACCAGTTCCACATCACGATGTGAGAACTCTGTGTCTGCGAGGAACAACCTCGGATCCAATCGACCATTGTCTGTGTTTTGATGGGGCTTGGCTTTGTCAGGATAACTGTGCTGGCACAGGCTGAATTTTTCGAGAGATTGATTCGGATGTTGTCCTAGCTGGTGGTGCTCAGGCTAGTCGATCCGTCTCTGCTCTTCAGGCAGAGTTGCAGGCTTGTTTGTGGGCCCTTCATATGGCTATTCGCCAAGGTTTTCTTCGCCTTCTCATCTACACGGACTGCGCTCAGTTAGTCTCCTTGCTTGAACGTCATAACTCCTCGGATATTTCTTGCCTCTAGTTGATTCAGGAGATAAGGAGATTCTCCCTCGGTTCTCTGCATGTCGAATTTGTAAAGTCCCTCGTCAGTGGGTGGCTCCTGCGCATTGGTTGGCTGTTAGGGCTCGAGATCGTCGTTTACTTTTATGGTCTTTTGGTTAGGATTTGCTTTTGGTTTGTTAGTGTTCTTTGTCAAAAAAAAAAAAAAAACTAAAGAGACTTAAACGATGATTCAAAATCGGTAAACATTAGTGTCAACTTGTTCGTACGCTCAATTCCAATGATATGAAAAGAGATCAAATAAGTTCACGTAAGTCAGATATGGTTAACATTGGGCCCCACAAAAGCCCCGTTACAATTGCGTTACATTACTCTCCAGTGAGTGAATTAATATGAAATGTCATGAATAACCCTAAATGTACAAGTACAACAACAAGCGCATACTCAAGAGGTACTCGCCGCATCTCTGCCCTCTTCTCTTCCTCTTTCTTGTTCTTCCACAAATCCTCCCTAATTAATAATTATATCTCATCTTCCACAAATTCAATACCTCCAAAATTAGGGTTAGAACTCAACAATCATATTAGAATCACCATAAACACAATTCTCCCTTCATCCACCATTAATCTTCATAAAGCCCTAGAAATTAGGGTTTGCCCAATTTCGTGGTTTTGCAGGTACATGCGCGCATTCAGATCATACCTTGTGTTGTAACTCTCCCGAGGGACCAGAAAAACCCCAAAACATTTGGCGCCGTCTGTGGGGAGAGTACCTCAAGGATGGTTCGAGAGTCTGTACCACCTCCTAATCCTAATGATCTTCAACCGGTTATACATCCGGTAAACTCTAACGATCCTCAGACAATGGTCTACACCGATCATGAGGATGATGACCAGGTTGAGACGTATGTGACCAAAGATCCTTCTCCCAGAGAAGGGTCCCAGGAAACCCATCCGGCAGCATCATCCGGGTGGTAGTAAGAAGTCCGCATCCCCGACGCTCGGGAAATTATCGAGCGCCGGAAGAGCCAGCAGTTGTCTGAGTCGGCGTCTACTTTGACCTTCCCAGACAGCTTCCGGAATACATCTGCAAGGAATGCTCAATCCTTGCATGAGAGCTACACAGGCGGTAATACCGTCCTGTCTGGACATCAGATGATAGGGAATG